CACATTAAGATCAAATCTGATTTTCTCCCGTCATTGTTAAAAAACAAACTAACAAAACTTGCAAACTAGCGTTAGTGAAGCGGCCAGAGGGATCGTTCTGCCCAGAGGTTCTGCCTCCACCTAAGCTCCGCCCACATAAAAACGTGACCATGTTTCCATCTTAAAGGGGTGCAGAATCGTGCGAGAAGGCGGGATTATACAGAGAACGAGATATATCCAGCTGCAGACCCGCAGCACCACCAGTTTCAGAACCCCAGTGCCAGAACCCCAGCGCCAGAACCGGAAGTGAGGGAGGGGCGGAATTATTTACAATGACACAAGCATGGTTATTTTTGCAAGTATTTAAAAATATTTAAAATTGTTGCACCTTTTAAATAATATTTAGGGTGTGTTTTTATTACACAGTGAGTCACTGCTCGTTGTATGAACTATAACTGGTATGTGACAAATAAAGAGCAAGACAGCGCTCGTGTTGTTTGAAGACGTGAGAGTACGCGCGCGCGCGGCCAGGGCTCTCTCTCTGCTCTGCCCTGTCAAGCGCAGCAGTCATTCTATTCTACATCACTCGCCGATCAAAATAGGCTTTGGCGGGACAAAAATTTGCTTTGGCGGCCGCCAAAAAGCGGACGATCTGACGGGTTTTAGAAGATTTAATACAACCTGAAACTAAAAAACAGACCCGACCTCTATTTGAGACCGGCCTTATAGCCTATTTACCCAGACCTGCAGCCACACCAGGCGTGTAAAGAGACAATCGTCTATTTGGGACTCGGCTATTATTTGAAGTACGGTACATTTTTATTGTTTATTTTAAAACAATGCCGGATTTTCTCTCTCTTTTTAGATTTTTGACATTATTTTACGTAAAGGAAAATGCATGCTGCACATGTTCTTGTGAAATAAAGTATATTTTATATAAAATGGCCATAAGTTTCAAGCATTATTTTTCACCATCATGATCAGGAAGTAACTCTCATAATACAATGAAACGGATAACTATATAGAATTATATTACACAAAATCAATGTTTTAAAATGCTTATTGTACTATACCTTAATGTATCATTATAATACGTATAAGTAATAATGCCGTTTCGTGTCTAAGCAAATTACGCTCCAAAACGTTAGGTGGCGTTACTCGGTTTAGAACGTAAGCTCCGCCCCTCACTTCCGGTCCTGGCGCTGGTGTTAGAACGTAAGCTCCACCCCTTACTTCCGGTTCTGGCGCTGGGGTTCTGAAACTGGTGTTGCTGCGGGTCTGCAGCTGGATACTATTGGAGAGAACGGTCAACACATTGAAAATACCACTATCTGTCACAGACACAGAAGGGTCGCAGAGAGCACGTCAATAGGAAAACAAATCCTGGACATTTTAGGCTATATGAAACACTTTTTAAGGTTCAAAAAAGAAGACAGATGAATGATCACCTAATATGGTAAGAGTTATTTTCTGTGTTCTGCCCCTGATTATTTCCTTTTTCTTTTCCGCTGTAATAATATTCAAAGACAACAGGCACTGCGCACTGTGGTAGGCTACGCTCTTCAGATTTAATAGTATCCATGAATTGAATCTAATAATCTTTTGTTCTTCTCCCTAAATCCTCACTCACGTTTCCCCCGGTTTATCTCGCAATATTCTCAGCCTTTTCACTTCTAATCCATATTGCCAGCGTTAACGGGAAGGTTTCAAATGGGAAATTCGTTATTTGTTATGTCAAATTGACGAAAAGCATTTTGAAATATCGCGCAATGTTAAAATATCGCGCAAAAGTTCTTTGGGGAACCAAAAATTATTCTTCGCATCACTGAGTGAAAATACTTTTGGAATCTTTATTTTTTCATTGATTCATCAGAGCTTTTTGGGGTCATTCATGTGCTACTATGAAAGTAATTTGTTAATAGGCTACTTTTTTAAGTTTACTTTTGGTAAGAGAAGAGGAAGGGATGGTGGCTGCCTCAGTGCACATTACAGCCTCACAATACATTTGTATAGGATATGCACCACAACAGCAAAAATGAAAAGTACATAAAAATAGAAAGTATCGCTTGAAAAATATTTTAAACATATCTTCATAATCATCTATAGTGGCAAGTTTGTGGATTTCTACATTGATGAAAAGTGAGCCGCTTTTCATGTCACAATTATAGTCACAAACGCTCTCTTAACTGATAACAGCTTGACAAACAGTTGTACTTTTCAAAATGTTGAAAAGTCAAGTCATCCTCATTTATATAGCGCTTTTAACAATGGAGATTGTTTCAAAGCAGCTTTACAGAGATAAACATATAATTTATGTTTATAATTTTAAAACATTGGGTTATCATTTACAGTACAGGCTGAAAAAAGGCTACATCAAGACTTGGGTGTTCATGAATAACATAAAGAGGACTGTGCCAATGAGACAACCCAGATATATATGTATACACTGAAGGGAGGGATGGTCAAGAGGTAAATAAGCAACTACAGAAAATATTTGGTGGATGCTTTGCTACAAAATGCAGATCTACACTTTACTAAATTCATGGGTTCACTTATTTTCCCAAGGACTGTGAATGATCACTCATATTGTACTCAATAAAAATGTGAAAAGTGCAATTGTTTGTGTTTACCCAATTTGTGAGTTAAATTAAGACCAGACTAAATTTTATTAGTCAGTGCAGAAATATAGATATTTTAAAGTGCCAATATTATGCTTTATTTATTTTAAATATTACCTTTCATGTATAATAGCTGTTTGTGAATGTAAAAGGTCTGCAAAATTTTCAAGATCAAAGTGTATGACAAGTAAAATTATTGTCTACTAAAAAGAAGAATAGATTCTGAACTGCTGAAACGAGTCGTCAGGAATAGAGTGGTGCAGGGATGACGTATTTTTGTTGGCCAAACTGGAAGTTAGCATCAGCCTGGTTCCCTCGACAAAAACCGGGGTTAAGAATAGTTTTTTCTTAACTAATTATTGCAGAAAATAAGATCTGTGAAAAGCTTAAGCTTAAGATTCTTACACAATTTGTTCATCATGAACACAACTTTCATGAATTTTGAAGAGTAAATACAATCGGCAGTAGTCAAAAGCTAAACGTAGGCTATAAACGAAATACACCACTGCCACATGACTTCAACGTCACCATCACTTTGTTTAAAAACATTTTCCCTGAGAGTTCGAGTTATAATAGTTTGCAAGAGCACAGTTATGAACACACCGAGGATATGAAAGCAGACTGGTGAGTAGATGATTTTATGTGTTCTGCTTGAGGACGTTTAATGTCCCCGACAACCTCTATAGTCCCAGTTAGCTACTTGTTAGCAATCGCCTTTTACAAATCAGAAGAGGGTATTACTGATGTATTTTATATTGTCGAATACATGGTGAAAATACCTTGAGCTTGTGTTCACCACAGACTTTATTTCAAGCATTTAACCAAAAAACCCATTCAAAAAAATCTATTGACTTCAGGACAATGGAACAAAAGTGCTAAAATGCTAACTCATTTCTGGGTTTTGGCCTACAAAAATACGTCATTCCCGTAGAACTCGTAATTACAACAGCTATTGACTAACACTATCAACAGCTATTGATATTCAAAATGGTAAACAAAAACTCAGTTCTATCAGCCCAGACAGAGGCAGGGGATGAGCAGGACGCAGGAGACAAAGCGATGTTAAAAATGCAATGTCAAAATAATTTTAGTTCAAATCTGTTATTAATCTCTAAATGTTAAAAATAATGTTCACACGAAAAGTTCTAGAATCATGTGTATGAATATGGTACCTTTTTGCAAAAAAAAAAACAAGTTCAGGCCCTTTAGTTCTTGATTCTTTTCTCTTAGGACATTGACTTCTCTGCAGGCCATTTACAGTTTTTTTCAATTGCTAAAAAGCACCAGTCAATACTGAAGTCTTACAGGTATATAATAAATCATAATAAATATAACATTATGCAATCTTGCAGGACAAGTATGTGGATCAACCTACAGGACTCCATCAGGAATTTACCCATAGGAATTTCATTTTGTCATGCACAATTCCTTTATCATCCGTTTAAAAACAACTACAATCCTTCAAGATCCCTGCAAGACTTTTAAGATAAGTATGGTCTCTGTGGGAATAAGTTATGAAGAAAAAAAGTGTGAAACTGTTAAATATGTATATGTGGATTTATCTGCTTTGTGAGTCTGTATCCCCGTTGAAAAAAAAAACCTATATCTCCACTCAGCCATTAATTCATCAGTTTTTTTTATTGCCAATTAAATTATAATCAATTAACACAATTAACATCAGTTACATGCATTTAAATACAGCTTTATTGTTTGTGATACTTTTATTTTATTGATTTATTTTTGCAAATATATGTGGCATGATTTTGTCTTTACAGTTGACCTGGAAACATTGACCAATTGTAAGCATTAAGAATAAGATACTAAGCTTTAAAAAAGTTGTTCACATATTAAATATTTGCTGTGATTTCGATAGTTGCTTGATATGAAATTTGAAGGTGTCCTTGAATCTGATGTTCACAAGAGTTGAGAACCATGGCTGATGTGCTGCGACTTTTTACCAGCTGCATTTGGTTACGGTGTTCACACTTGAAAACTGGAAAATTGTATTTAAATGCATGTCCTCAACTTACCCTTAGCTAGCGTTAGTAACCCTTTCGCCCTCTCCTTCGGTTTCTTCTTCTGATTCGGTTTAATAGCGGTTGTCAGACTAGTTTATAGTGCTTTTCTGCCACCTACTAGACTGGAGTCAGAATCAACAACGTTCGATAGTATATTACCCATATTAACTGAAATACAGCTTTGCCATCACAGAAATAAATTACATTTTAAAATATATTAAAATAGAAAACATTTACACATTTCACATTATTACTGTTTTTACTGTATTTTTGATCAAATAAATGCAGCCTTGATAAGCATATAGACATAAATCTTATTTCTGTCTCCATGGCTTTCCTTTATTATTTTGTGTGTTTATGTTTGCTGTTGAATAAAAAAAGTGAATTTACATCAAATTAAATTTTTATTTAGAAGTTGTTGAAATATACAGAGTATGGAGGAGTAGTGATCACATTTTGGCTGTGGGTTTGAGAGGCTGAGGCCCCATCCACTTCTCCCCTGGATCACAAAAAGAAAGAAAGTGATTGGACAATGAACGATATATAACCTAAGATTGTAATATCCCAAGATTACTTCAGAATTTATGGTTTAAAACATGATAAAGTGCAATAAACCATCAAGTAAACTGGGTATGATAAATATAACCATTATCCTATCTAATAAAAGAAGTAGAAATCCAAAGTTACCAATGCAATGAGCCATGAGCTCAAATCTGTCAGAGCCAAAGAAGACCTCAGCCTTTCCGTTCACATGACACACAGTGCACGGAAAACCAAAGCACTACAAAAACGGAAGGGAAAATCACTGTAAGGAACATTTTAGTTAGAAAGACAAAGGGTGCAAAGACGCAAGTAAAAGGCACTGACTCTATACTCCAGTACTTCCTGTGTGACACTCTTCAGCTTGTCTTTGATTGGCTGAGATTTGGCGAGGGTCAGAATTTCCTCCACCTCATTGGCTGAGAGACCTGCCTTTAATCCCACCTGTGCAAAACAGAAAGGCAAGACATTAGTGAACACACTGAAGTCAAAGTCCGTGGTGAAGTACAATGGATGATATCAAATGTTTTCATGTATATAGTTTTATGAAGTAATAGAAGATTAACATGTCAATTTACTGACTGAAAACTGGCATTCAGATCTGCCTCCATTAAGTTATCAATGCCCAACTTCCTAAAATCCAATCAATTCCCAAAAGACAAAATCAAGTCCCGGCCTACATTCTGATTTACATAACAATTGGGTAGAAAAGTCTATCCCAACTTCCGTTTCATGCAGACTTTAACAAGCGCTAATCTAGGGTATTTGATACCTCAATGAATGAGGCAGGCTGGGTAATGTCCTGATCAGTGCTCCAGATTCTTTTCCACAGCTCTCTAGACACCCTCTCCACCAGCACGTCTCCCTCTTTGTCCTTTTCTGCTACAGCTGTCACAAAACGCATCGCATTCAAAGAGCCTACATGGAAAGATGGAGGACAAGAGAAAATAAAAGAGACTGTGACAGAAAGGATTTACCTAAAAACACAAGATTATCCTTTTTAGATTGTAAAATAAATCCAAGTAAGCAAAAAAATACTCTAGAAACAGTCCAACATCCTTTTTTCTATGAGAGAAAGAAATCTACAAGTATGGCTTGCATTGTGCATGTAGTCATCAGTGTCATCGTAAATAAACAGCAGTTTGAATACCTTTCTCAAACATCGCCTCAACAGGATTTGAAGGTGGATTCAAAGGGACCACAAAGTACTCAGACAGCCGTTTCAGATCGGTGTTCATATAATAAAACTTATTAGGGATCACTGCAGGGGGGCGGTTACCTAGGAATAGAAGAAACTTGATCATGTATTATCTTATCATCTATAAAAGTACAATGTCACACATCCATCAACATTCATTTAGAAAAATATATATCATAATATGTTTTAAAGGGGACATGTCATGAGAATCTGACTTTTTCCATGCTATAACCAGGTCCCCAGTGCATCTACCAATCCAGAAAATGTGAAAAGTGACAACACAGTATCTTTGTTTTGGTAAGCCTTTCTCTTCAAGCATGTCAAAAAATAAGCCGATCAGATTTCTCTCCCCTTCTGACTTAGGAAGGGTATCTTATTATAATATTACCGCCCCTTAATCTGCACGTTTCCTCCCACAGCGCCGCCATTTGGTTTTCACAAGAGACAACAGTGTAACCAGTTCTAATGCAATGGCAAAGGTTTGAGCAAAGCATTTCTTGCTCAGGCTTCATACTTGTGGTATTTTGACCAAAAAATGTCCCAGCTGTCTTATAAAGATCTCAGGGAACTGTGTCAACTTGTGTAAAAAGTTAAACATGAATGTCTGCAAATCCATAACAACTACATAAATGGATCCACTAACCATTGAGAAACATCCAGGTGCATTCTAAAAGTTGCAACCTTTCCCTGAGTCTCTCCATAAGGCTGCACACTGCTACTGGTTATTTCTGTGATGTTGGATGAGATTTGCGTGTTTTGTTATTGCCTGCGTATCCAAAGCTCGTGTAAAGGATCGGCGGTCTTCTGAAGGGAGGCAGAGAGCAGCAGTTGCATTTAAAGGGACACAGACAAAAACGGCGCTTTTTGGTTCACAACCAAAAAGGGGCAAATTTGACACGCTATAATAAATTATCTGGGGGGGTTCTGGTGACACCATAGATTTATATTACATCTTGTGAAAATGGACATAAAATGTCACCTTTAAAACTATATAAAACTTGAACTGAATCTAGTTGTTTTTAATGGTTTTCAGGTTGCGACAAATTTGCCCAAATGATCACAGGTAGGTGACGTAACGTTCTCATGACAGTATGAAGGTTAATGTGACGTGTTGTGGAACAAAGTCTTCTTCTCTTTGCAAAAAGTACCCAAGTCACGGAGTTCCAGATGCCAAAATTTAAGACTTTATTGGTTGAGACAACAAAGCTGAGATGCCTGCACTCAGAACATCTGACAATCTCACTCGTAGCCCATCTTCCTTCACCTGCCCCAATTAATTTCCTGTCTTTCTGGCTTCTTTTTAATTATGGCGTGCCACCAGCTGGTCTGTTTTTAAAAAGAAACATTAAACAAGAGAACATTGAAGGCCATGCAAATCAAAAGAGCAGTTTATTATCATTGTCCAGGTGCAAGTTTGTACTCTGACCCACAGTTGTGGGTCATAGTGACTGAGGCCAAAAGCCTCCTGGTTTTAATCACATAGTACCCAAACTTTTCTAAAAACATATCTTAATGTTTAATAAAATTACTCTATACATGTTTTATACTTTTTTATATTTGTTATTTTTAAACGCTATTATGTGTCTTGTTATATTTATATGTGTGTACTGAATGCTTCAATGCCAAGGTAAATTCATTGTATGTGCAAGCACACTTGGCAATAAAGCTCTTTCTGATCATGATTTTTGTATATTTTGTGATTGTGGACATGTTATTTCTTTATTAGCCTACCTGAGCCTTGCATGACTCCCCCTAAAAATGCTGGTTTAAATTTGAGGTCGATGTTCCAAATATTTCTATAGCGACACAGCACCTTAACACACACAATTAATACAAACATGAAAACATATTAAGCAGCTTGGATTTCAATGAACTATACTAAGGGGCGAAAACATCATGTACCTCAAATGCCAGCCAGGAATACGGAGAAACGACATCATAAAACAACTCGACGACTTTTCTGGGACTGGACATCTGTAACGAATAAGGATATTCGCATTACATACACTAAAAAGTATTCGAACAATGTCATTTACGTGCATGCGTAGTACACATTACCCTGGTGGCGTCAGTCAGTCTCACTGCTGTACTTGAAAAGAAACTGTCAAAGTTCAACACAATTAGATCGAGAAACAAATAGACCCACTGTTTATGGCAGAATACCGTTCATTTGCTACGAGAGTCTAGCAACGATTGTCTAAATTCTACAACAAATTGTATTTGTATAAATTGTGAAGGACGTTCACAAGGTAGTGTCGGGCGATTTCGCATTAACACTGCTTCATGAAGCTTCGAAACATTTTTGAATCTTTTGTTTCGAATCAGTGGTTCGGAGCGTGTATCAAACAAAGTCACGTGATTTTAGTAGAAGAAAGTAAAAAAAGGTTTACCGCTGGGGGGGATATATCTGTATAGACGGGCTTTGGTGTAAACTCATGCAATCCGCATGATTCATGAGTTTACAGAGATCGCCCCCAGCGGTAAACCATTGAACAAGTGTCTATGGGTTTTACCCATTTTACCTGATCTCTGATCAGAAGATGTATACATTTGTGTTTAAACATTAGTATAATTAAAAGGAATAATAGTACTAGTTAGTCTCTTATTGGCCTGTGATTAGCTGAGCAATCCATGATGCAACAAACAAAACAACGCCTTGAAATTTGATAAAAGAGCACATTACATAGACACTTGATATTTAATCTTATTAGATGATTAGTTCATTGCATTTGATAGATTTTACTGTCAATAAAACATTTGCAAGGTGTTTGTAAAAGATCTTTTATGCATGCTTGGCCTGAGTTTTTGCATTTCCACTGTTCTGACCAGCAGGGTTCACTAGCGTGTGGTGTTTCGAACGCTTCGAAACAGTGAATCATTTTGCGAAATGCGAAGCAATTGGTTCACTTGATTCGAAGCTTTAAAAAGCTTCGTTTCTCCCACAACATCTTCCGAAATAGGCGTGAGCAGCACGTAAAGTTCAGAATTTATTGAATTTTTTTAGACCTGCTGAAGAAAAAAGTAAATGCAATAAAAATAACTGGCTTCTGATTAAAAACTAATCGCCAGCTTTTTTGCACGATACACTTTCGATTTAAAACAATTATTTTTTTATTTTTTTATACATTTGTATTATAATAACATGACAGTGGTGATATTGAACGAATGTAGTTTCAATTTAAGTAAATGGAATTCGTTCATTAACAAACAACGAATTCCAAATGTTTCCGTAGTGCTTGAGCTCATACACTGATGCTCCGCCCCCTAGCAGTCAAAGTGAAGGTTCCCGTCTGTTAAAGTGGTTGCCAGATTATTATTTTTTTCAGTTAGTACGTCTTGTTATGTTGGATATATGGAAAAATAAATTACGTTTATATTGTAAACATCATAAATACCATAGTCACAAATGTAGTAAAAATTGTGAACCTGCAGTTTTTTCTGATATTCTAATATATTTTAAAATGTAGTCTCTTTTACAATAAGAAAATTAATAAAAAAAAATGCAAACTAAGTTACCACAATACACAAGGGCTTGGATAAATTAAAACATTTATTACAAAACATTTATAAAACTATTTTTTATAAGACCATGAAGGTTCTTTACGTATTTTTTTTAGATGTAGCCTATTAATTGACCACATTTCCGGGGTTCTCAGAAGCGGAATAGTTGTGTTGTTGAAACATCACTGTTATGAACAGCACTTTTTTTAAGTATAAAAAAACAGATAAAGAAAAAAATCAATATGATTAATTAATTATCTGCTGTTACGGTTTCTTAGACAGTTACCGGTATTTGCTGTTGCAGTTTTTGTGAATATCTGGCAACTCGAATGCGACGCATGCAGTGCACATATGCGGTAGTAGGAAGTGGAAGTGGTGAATGAGGAGAGAACAGGCTAGTGCTTGGGCGGTTAAAGGGGACTTTGGGAAATACAATATCCGTCAGAATAACTAGTCTTTGATAGCACACCTTCATACCTCACTGCTGTAAGTATTGCTGTGGTCATTTAATAATTATAGGTGGTATGTATATATTATCCAGTCTCACTGTGCCAAAGGCTGTCTGCTTCTGTAAGGCCAGTCTATTAGATGCATCCCATATGATTCAAATCACTTTTCAAATGTCAGTTTTCTAAAAACTATTTTAACGTTGTTAAGAAGTGTTGGATGACTATAGTGTCAGGAAGTGTATGATTTACAGACCTGCCTGCTCCTGCCATGACAAATTGGAAATGTTTGGTTCAATAAAATCATTAATTAAATCTAAGAAAAGATTAAATATGCTCAGGGATGGGATAGTCAAAGATGGGATAGCTGGCTAAATGTTGGGAGTTCTTTAAACTGATTAACCCAAACACTATTTTAATGTTGGATGGATAAGCTTGAATATATAAACAGTATGATAATTGTTATGCTTTGTTATTGGTGTAAACAGAAAGATGTCACCAGATGAATTAGTCTATCTAGGAATCCTTGGTGCATCAATACCTGTAGGATTCCTCTTCCGCTACCTAAGTAAGTCTGACTATGTCTTCTTTAAGTTAGAGCCCACATATTAAAATGTGTTAATAATAGGGTGAATAAAGTGTCACTACTTCTGTTTTATCATGATTTTAACAACTCTTGATCACTTTTGTGTGCATTATTTTCCAGGCCCTCCAGTCAAGCAGGGGGCGGCATTGCTCTTGGGTTTGATCATCTCCATTGCTACCTGTGGGATCCACACTCTACACTCTTTCTTTACAGTTTTAGGAACATGGCTGATTATAAAGATCAGTTGGAGGTAAGTGTGATATGTAGCTGTCTGGAATTTTACATTAGATTCGGAGCTATTTCCCTGTGCTCTTATTTTTTTATTTAGAAGTGCCCCTGCTCTGTCTTTGGGCTGGACGTTTCTGTACCTCCTCTTTTTCCGTCTGGTCACCTGGTTTGGCCTCCCTCAGCCAACACCTTTTGCCAATGCCATTCAGCTTCTTTTAACATTAAAGGTAAAACGCAACAAGATTAGACACATTTTCCATGTTTTAATCTCTTGATATAATTATTGAATGAGTTTTGTTTTGAATACACAGATGGTCAGCTTAGCTAATGAGGTTCAAAGTTATTACTTGGAGAAGAAAAAGGAAGTGAGCACCTTCACCAAGTCCCCAGTTGTTGGAGGACTTTCCCATGAGCCTTCACTCTATGAAATGATATCATATAGCTACTGCTATGTGGGCATAATGACAGGTATTTTGCATATTGACTGGAATTTCCTCGAATGCTATTGAGTCTGTTCAAACGTTCTGTGCTGTATGTTTTGCATGTATGCTAACTTGTCTTTCTCTGTTTCTCTCTGCTACTAGTTCAGTAATGTGTGAGTCCAATTTCTTTTTATAACTGATTGTTATTATTGCTCCTCTTTTACCATGATTTGTCCTCCCAAACCATACATCCATATGCTTCATTTTGTCATCCCCTGTGGCACATTGATCTGGCTCACTATTGCATTCGATTCCATACCTATACTCCATTCTATCCCAATATCATGTGTCATCTTTGCCCATCTACGCCATGTCTCCATTGATAACTCTTACCATGCTCTCCTCACATTCCTTCATTTTCCATTCTTTGTCCCACCCACTCTTGCCGGTGTCCCCCAGGTCCCTTCTTCCGCTATCAGACGTATGCAGACTGGTTGCAGCAGTCCTGTCCCCTGTCGCTGCCGGGTAAAGAGCCCTGCCTGCAGAGGCTGAAGATGGTGCCCGTTTACGGAGTTCTCTTTATGGCTGTCAACTCTGTCTTTCCCTTGTCCTATGTCCGTACTGAAGAATTCCTGGAGCACAACTATTTTTACAGGTTTGTTTTTCTGGATTAAAGGACCAATCCAGACTGAATCTAAAACTAAAGTCCAAAGGACATAATTATATTTAAATCACACTTTATCACAATTTTTTTTTCTACCATATTAAGATTCATAGTGGTTATGTTTCAGATTTTTCTACATGGTGGCAATATTCTTTGTATTCCGGATGCGTTTCTACTCCGCATGGTGTGGGGCAGAGGCAGGTTGCATCAGCGCAGGTCTTGGCTGTTACCCCCAGGGGGCGCTGTCCAAACCTGGGGGAGGACCAACGGTGAAATATAGGTAGCTTTATTTCCTGATAGCTTTTTAATGTGCTTTTACAGTTTGACTGTAACTTGTAAATATGATGACCTGAACTTTGAGGATTTTATCTAATAAGGAGGTATATCAGGGAAAACATGGCATGTTCTATAAAAGGATATGATAGAACTTGAATTATCCAAGAATAGAAATTTACATGTTACAGTAATAGACTTGAAGCAGGATCAAAGCACAACATCAGAGGTCAGCAGGGTTACAGTTAGGCAATATTAAACTGTACATGTCAAGACAAACATGTTACATTAGAATAGGAGAAGCAATTAAACACATTTTTTATCCATTACAAAAGCTTAAAATTGATCACAAATACAGTGCAGACATAATAATAATTGTGGCTGGAAACAGCTGATTTTTAAAGATCTACAGTTGCTCAAAGTCCCATTGTCAGCAACCATCAGTCCTTTTTTAATCTCATGTTATGTTTGCTAATCCAAGTTAATCATTTTAAAAGGCTAATTGATCATTAGAAATCCCTTTTGCACAGCTGAAAACTGTTGCACTGCTTAAGGAAGCAATAAAAGTGGCCTTCTTTAGATTAGTTGAGTCTCTGCTGCATCAGGAGTTATGGGTTTGATTACAGGCTTAAAATGACCAGAAACAAAGACTGTTCTTTGGAAACGCGCCAGTCTATTTTTGTGCTGAGAAATGAAGGCTATTTAAGCCTTGTGAGATATTGAACTACTTCCTTCATAGAACAGCACAGACTGCTTCTAACCAGAATAGAAAGAGGAAGGGGAGGCCCCTGTGCCCAAATGCGAAAGAGGACAAATACCTTAGAGTGTCTTGTTTAAAAACAATACTGTTTCTAGTTTAGAAACAGACTCCTCACAGGTCCTCAAATGACAGCTTCACTAAATAGTACCTTCTAAACACCAGTGTCATCAACAGTGAAGAGGCAACTCTGGGATTCTGGGCTTTTAGGCAGAGTAGCAAACAAAAAGCCATATCTCAGGCTGGCCAATAAAAAGAAAAGATTAAGATGGGCAAAAGAGCACAGACACTGGACAGAGGAAGACTGGAGAAATATGTTGTGGACCGATGAGTCCAAGTTTGAGGTTTTCGGGGTCAAACAGAAGAACATTTGTGAGATGCTGAACAATGGAAACGATGCAAGAGGATCTGTCAAGCATGGTGGAGGCAGTGTGATGGTCTGAGGGTGCTTTGGTGGTGGTACAATGGGACATTTGTACAGTAAGGATATCATACAGTACAGTATAGTAAAACAGACCTTGAAGACCTTGACATTTTGCAACGCCATGCATGCCGTACCCTGTGGACAGCTCTTGATTGGGGCCTATTACGTCCTACAACAGGATAATGACTCAAAACACACTTCCAAACTATGCCAGAATTATTTAGGGAAGAAGCAGTCTGCAGGAATTCTGTCTGTAATGGAGTGGGCAGCACAGTCTCCGGATCTGAACCCTATCGAGCTGTTGTAGGAACACCTTGATCGTATAGTACGGAGGAAGTGTCCATCAAGCGTGTCCATCAAGCCAATCCATCTTGTGCGGGATGCTTCTGGAAGCATGGGGTTTAATCTCGTCAGATTACCTTAAAAAATGGACAGCTAGAATGCCATCTGTAAGGCTGTAAATGCTGCGAAATGTGGCTTTTTTGATGAAAGCAAAGTTTGTTGATCACAATCATTAAATCTGTCAATTACTGCATTTCCTATTCATTTGCTATATTTCCTCTTCAAACTAATTTCATGTGTGTTTTCATGGAAAACAAGGAAATTTCTAGGTGATCTCAAGTGATTTTTGAACAGCAGTTCAAGCAGCACAACTGTTTTCAACTGTGAAAATATAGAAAAAAAATGAAAATATTTATTTACTTATTCCAAGTTTGATAATAATTGCTAAAGATCATATTTAACAGTGTTAATAAATTCATTGCTTTTTTAAAGATTAGCTTTAAGTGAAAATTAAATAAAGTAAATAAAAAAATCTGTTAATATCAGACAGTCACTGGTAACGATATATTGTAAATCATTAGTGTAAACAGTACTCACAATAAAAAACGTCAGTTTCTTCAGCCTGTACCTATAAGACGCATTAAGCGAGATTATCTACAGGAAATTACAATCTCATTTGAGGTTTAGTCATGTGGTTGATGTTGTTGTATGTTTCAGTCCTGATCCAGACACAGCTGTGGAGTATGACTTCAAAACTATCCAGAACATTGACTGTTATAATACAGATTTCTGCGTCAAGGTTCGGCATGGCATGCGCTACTGGAACATGACGGTGCAGTGGTGGCTTCACCACTATATCTACCCCAATGCCCCTTTCAGAGCATACGCTCTCAGGTACGAGCATGTACATTTGACCTTTCAACTGCACTGTGGTTAAAAGGCTCTGTTATTGACCTACACAATCTTTGTTTTGTCTTTTTTCTCACATTGTGGCAGGGCTGGATGGACAATGTTAATCAGCGCTTACTGGCATGGCCTCCATGCTGGTTACTACCTCTCTTTTCTCACCATCCCACTGTGTATCGCAGCAGAATCGTCCATGGAGGCTTCTGTCAGAGCCCGTCTGGGGCCAAAGGGCCAGAGCATCTTCGACTGGATCCACTGGTTCCTCAAGATGAGGGCTTACGACTGCATGTGCATGGGATTTGTTCTCCTAAAGGCCAGCGACACCGTCAACTACTGGAGCTCCATATACTTCATAATTCATATCATCGCCATTGTTTGTATAGGAGTAGGACAAATGATGAAAGGAGGGAAAAAGAGAGAGAGGAGGGAAGGAGCTGAAGGAGAGAAACAGGATGTGGTAAGAGAGAAGGCTGAGTGAAACAAATGTGTGATGTGATGATTGTGATGATAACTGGAGAGTTGGTATGTTTACACACACACTCACACAAAAAAAAAACATTTCCCAACATGCACTGTAATAGCCATCAACTGCCATTTAACGGATTTTGTTTTTAAAAAGCAACACAGAGAGAAGCGTAATTTGTGATAAAGCCAAGGATATCAATCTTTCTTTTATTAACAGTGAAAATAGCTTTCAATTAATTTCCATACTTTTAATGTTATAATTTGTTTTTTTATTACATATATTGTAAAATGCTTATTTTTGTTGTCCGGTGAAAAACAGTGCAACCTTATAGATTCATCCTGACCAGGTCAGTATTGTATTTATATTAATAGAGTTTTTCTGCTAATCAGTGGCCATGGGACTCGAATTCAGCTACCACACAGAGGACTTATAACTGAATCCATCCGTATACACACACACACACCAACACTGATGAATGTTAGACCCCGGCCCGATCACTACATTGAGTTCAAATTTGTGGAGATTTACACTCTGTAATAGTGTCAATGAGGTCACACAACCTTTGTGATAACAAAGTTGTATATATGGGATATTAAAAGTTGCTCTGCCTTTTTTTTTCATCCATTCTGAGTATCCATTGATGGTTATGTATCACTATTATTTTTATTATTCTACAAAGAATGTGAAAGTATTTGGAAACTTTCTTTTTCTCACATTTTCAGAAAGTAGGAGTGAATGTTTTTGCTATTTTGTTCATTTGCTCTTTAGTTTGATACCAGATGTAAAGTGCAACCTAATGTTAAGTGTTGCTAAACATGTATCAACAAAGTAATATGTTATTACTAAGAGCAATTAAAGTCTGGTTGAGTCTGAATAAGTATGAAAGATCTTCTCAAAAGATCAGATGTAAATTCTTTCCTGCAAAATTAAATTATTATATAAAAACAATAATATTCCAAAACATTCTGATTTTTTTTTTGTTCTCGTACACTGGAGGATAGTGCTGGTGTTTAGTGTATTGATCGTTTCAGATTGTATGCTGGTTCCTATAATGTCTACCTGCTATATTTTACCTCTAATGTTTACCTTCTGGACTATATATATTGGACACAGGATGTACCACTCATATCCTTTCAGGTTTTGTTTGAAAAATCAGTGTTTTCAATAAAATAAGTGATTTTTATCCCTGCCAAACTTCCTTCTCCTGATGTAATTTCTTTGTTTGGATACAAAGTACAGTATCTCACAAAAGTGAGTACACCCCTCACATTTCAGCAAACATTTTAGTATATATACTCAAGGGACAACACCATAGAAATGAAACTTGGATATATTTTAGAGTTGTCAATTTGCTGCTTGTATAGCAGTATATATTTACTGTCCTCTGAAAATAACTCAACATGCAGCCATTATTGTCAAAATAGCTGGCAAATAAGTGAGTACACCCTAAGTGATAATAGCTGTACGTCGTTTAACCATGCAAAGCCACATGTCCTATTCATCATGTTCATGTTTTTGTCTGCTTGACAGGACAAATGTTTGTATCTTGTAGTAGAGCAGTTAAAATTTGTGCTATGAGTACAATTCTCTCATACTGACCACTGGATGTTCAACATGGCACTTCATGGCAAATAACTCTCTAAGGATTTGAGAATTAGAATTGTTGCTCTCCACAAAGTTTACCTAGTCTATAAGAAGATTGGTAACACCCTGAAACTGAGTATAGGCCAGGGACATACAGAAGTTTTCCAAGACAGGTTCCACTTGGAACAGGCCTCGCAAGGGTCAATCAAAGAAGTTGAGTCCTCGTGCTGTGCGTCAGGTGCAGAAGCTGGCTTCAAAAAACAGACGCATGAGTGCAGCCAGCATTGCTTTAGAGGTTGCAGAAGCGGAAGGTCAGCTGAAAGCAACCGGTCCAAGAGCATGAATTACTGGAACCATGTCCTGTGGTCTGATGAGATTAAGATAAACTTGTTCTGAACTCTATTGAGCACCCGTGGGTCATCCTGAAGCGGAAGGTGGAGAAGCTACATGTGTCTAACATCCAGCAGCTCCGTGATGTCATTATGGAGGAGTGGAAGAGGGTCCCAGCAACAACCTGTGCAGCTCTGGTGAAATCCATGCCCAGGAGGATTAAGACAGTGCTAGATAACAATGGTGCTCACACAAAATATTGACACTTTGGACACAGTTTTGACATATTCACTTGTGTACACACTTTTGTTGCCAGCTATTTTGACAATAATGGCTGTATGTTAAGTTATTTTCAGACAGTAAATATATACTGCTATACAAGCAGCACATTGACAACTCTAAAATATATCCGAGTTTCATTTCTATAGTATTGTGCCTTGAGAAGATATGAAATGTGAGGGGTGTACTCACTTTTGTGAGACACTGTATATTAAAAAGTCTCACCTGATTTTTCATTATTGCCTCAAACATTTTTGTTATTCCTATTTTTCTCTCGCTGTAATTGCTCACATTCTGCCTTGACCTGCCCTACTTTTCAAAGGTGGGCACGATTTTTTCTTCTTTTTAAAAAAAAGTATTTTATGCTCACCAACGTATATTTATTTGATTCAAAAAAACTGTGATATTTTAATATAAAATGTGATTTATTCCTGTGAGTGTCACATGATCCTTCAGAAATTATTTTTTTGGAAACCGTGAAATATTTTTTATTCTTTGATGAAAATTCAAAAGAACAGCATTTATTTAAATTAGAAATGTTTTATAGCACTATACATGTCTATACGGTCTCTTTTGATCAATTTAATGTTTAATGTTCTGGATAAAAGTATTAATTTCTTTTAAAAAATTGACTGACATTAAACCTTTATTTTTTATAGTAGGATACCAATTGTCGGAATACTTTTGCCCATTTTAGTGAATGTTTCATAAGTTGCATTGAAATTTTGTATTATTTAGTTCTCGTGTTGAGTAATGGTGTGTAAGTTTAGTGAAATGATTTGATTAGTCTACTCTGTTGTTACTGGCTTATGCGACAAAAAGGTTATGCCCCTCGTCTCCATGACAACATTATTAACAGGCAATAATAAACCACAGGAATATGCTTACCAAGGCTCATAACATGCAAGACTTATTTTTCAACATATTTAAAACTTTATTATTCATTTATAAGTCATTATTCAAAAAAAAAAATCAGCCAATTTAGTAAATTGCTATCAATCCACAGAGAAAGGAAATTTTCCGATTGAAGAGAGTTGTCTTTGGTAACGGGATCTGTCAAGGTTGCCTTTGTCTCTTTGTCATTAGTCTTATAGCGTGTAAAACTGGTGTTCAGCTGGCAGTAAGTACAAGGAAGTGTTTCCAAAGTTTATTTTCATGAGATACAAAGTCCAGATCACACCTGCGTTCTCCGTCAGTGGGAATTGGCCAAACTATAGCTATGCACATCTGACAACTGCATTTTTTGGATTGTGTTGGTTGTCTTCGTGTTTGTTTTATGTGGAATCTATGTTGATAATTACTGATTTCTGATGGAGCTGAGAAATTTCAACAATCAAGTCCATCCAACTCCAGGTAAGAGATTATGTGTAACTGAGAGCTAATGTGATAACGTTGCAGTTTAAACTAGTTTCCCCGAGTACAAGAAAGACCCTATAAGTGTAAAAATAGTAGCCTATATGCCTACTTAAGAACAATTTATTCGTATGTACTTTATTATAACTAAATGTATTTGTGGCACACTATAAATTGACTTAAATTCTTAAATTGGAAAAACTAATTGTGATGCATTTTAGTCCAAAAGCAGTGGAAATATTCCAAGTATACTTGAGTACACTTTAAATATACTCTTACATTTAAGTTTTCAAATGCAGAATTCACTAAGCATAAACTTAAAATATATTTAGGTACAATTGCAATTCAATTTGCGTTCACTGTAAGAGTGTTGAACAAGTAATCTTTATATGGCACAGCTTAAGAATTTGCCTTACTGAAACCACTCAGTTCTCACAAATCCGGACAACATCATCAGTGAGACAATGGGAACAGATACATATGTAGGAAATACTATGGACTTTTTACCAGTGGAGCCACCATAATTTTAATAATTTGTTTAATAATCCATAATATTTTGACAGTCCAAATGGCTGCAGTCCATATTTCAAAGTGCAACGGGCCATTAAAGTACCATTAATGGGAAAAGAGTATTACAGTAGGTGCATTGGAGAATACACTAAAGTAGCCTAATAAAACTTCTGATCAGGTACGTGAATTTCTTTCACCATTTCAATTACATATATTTACTTTAGTAACTACTTTCTATAGCCTATGTATGTAAAGCTGCTTTGCAAACATGCAAAATTGTGAAAAGTGGGCAATTCTTAGACTATGGGCACTTTCATGTCCTTTGATCATATTTTATGAAAAAACATTTAATTTAGAAAAATTCACACTTTCATAGTTAACTTTACAATGAAAGTACTTTAGAAACTTTTTACCGGTAGTCTACGATGATTTTTTCACCTTTTTAAACATCATTATAGATGCAAATATTGCTGTTTTATGCTTGTCCCACACCCAGACTTCTGATCTTCAATAATGAAAAAGAAGTGTAAAAAAATGATGTATCTATTTTTTTTTAATATGACTGTATACAGTATCAGTAAAATAATCAAAACATAATTGTGGTATTTAAGGTCAGACAACTATTAATGTGATTTTATATACAAAATGTAGTTGTCCCACAGTATTGCCGTCATTTCCACCACAACGCTGTAATGTCCCTTTTAAAAGTTTTTTTTGAAAGATTGTTTGGGTAGTTTCTATGGAGATGAACAATGACATCACAGCACATGTCTGACATGGAGGAAATTTTTCATTTCTTCACCAACTTGGAGAAGAAAACTCAAGGTAAATATTGCTTGAAATGAAAATATTTTTATTGTATGTCATTTCCAAAAATGGCGTAACATCAATTGAGTTTGTAAATAAATAGATTTTTTAACATAAATAGATGTATTTTGCATGCATGCAATGCTAGCTACCAATTCATAGCTAATCTGTAATACTAGCTTGGATTTTTTTACAAAATACTGCAGGATTGTCATTTCCACCACTGTCATTTCCAACACATTCCTTCTTGGGTGGAAATGACAAAGGTGAGGTGGAAATGACATTTATGCTTACAAGGTGCAATTCATAGATTGTGGGGCTACATATGTATAGTTTATTTATTGAAATGTGCAATGCTAATGTATTTATTCAAATATATATTTGTTGAAATGCCTTTTCATCTATTTTTAAGATGCCGCGGAAGTCAACTGCAGAAAGGTCTCAGTCCTATACCAAAACAGAACCAAACAAACTAATGACTAATGAGATTAATGATTTGTTAAATGGAATTGTCTGTTTCAGAAAGTTTCAAATAAAAGTCTTCTGTTTTTCTACATGGACGTCCATTCATTGTCATTTCCACAACACCAGTCATTTCCACCCCCTCATAACTTTTTAAAAAATATATACAAAATTCTAATCACTCATTAAAAACTTCTGCATAGTTTATGGGATAATGGTCCACTTAATGTAATAACACAAGTAGTTATTTTTCTTAAATGTATCTAACCAATCCAATATTATATTTCAGGTTGTGGTGGATGTAAGCTTTGTGTTTGGGCCTCATGACAATTAATTTACTTAATCCACAAATCTATGGTAATTGCAATATAGGCATAAACTGGTAATACTATGTGTGAAAGTGGTCTTACACTGCGAAATGATCTATATTATAATATTTTAAAATAATAATCAAATATTTACATGTGATGGAAATGACATTTGTTCAGTGCGGATCGGAAAATATGCAAAAAAACACCCATTTGTCTTATAATGTAAGTGCGTTCTCTTATGGATCATTAAACTAGACTAGTTATATTTAACTGTTAGACTGTGACAATTTTGATTTGAACACTTTTTTCCCCCTCAAGTTCACAAGGCCAAAAGTGCCTGTAGTTGAAGAACCACTGAATTAAGCAATAGCCTACCTGATATTCAAAGTGTAGGCAAATTATTTCTCAAAACACATTTCCTGTAAACTTTTATCTAGGCTATATTATTTTTATACTCAACAAGTAGAACTCAAATACAGTTCATTGTATTGTACATTTAATCATAACAGGTCAACAGAGGATTCAACAAAAATAAATTGCTGACGTAATACTTAAATATTTAACAAATTAAATAATTTTATTTGCAAATTGCTCATTGTTACATTTGCGCTGTAGGAAAACGTGTATGGAAATTCTGCCCTTACAGCACATGTTAGCAGAAACAAACTAGATGTTTCAGTTCATACCTCACATTTTCTTTGGTTTGCACAAAAATAGTCTCATCTAAAAAAAATTACATAGCATCATCTAAAGATAATTTCATCATTCTCAGATTTGAAATACATGGTTGTAGCGGTTGCTCTGTCAATGAAGGCACGAAGATGAGGATGAAAGGTTTCCAAGATAAATTTAATGATCAACAAGGTTATACAATAGACTAGTGCAGACACAACCAAACACATACGAGACTGGACAAAGAACAACAGACAAGCAGGAACTTAAGTACACAGATAAAGACCAGACAGCTGTGATAATGATGATCACTGGCAGGTGTGGAAAATGATGTAGTGAGTGCAGGTGTGAACCAGAGAGGATGATGGGACATGTAGTGTACGTAGTGATACACGGAACTGTGACAATGGTGAGACTTGTGTCTTTAGCTGCAATTAATTTCTAGACTCTAAATGTGTCCTTCTGACAAATGTGCCAAATCTGCAATACAGATTCCCAATAGTGTGCAGTGTGCACTCTAGGCGAGTTCGGTTGTTTAGCCAAAGTACACCAAAACCGATTGTTGATGAGTGTGATGGCATTGGCTCTATGGCGTGTTCCAAACTTAGATCAACCATGGTGGTCTGACATGTCAACTTCTGGTTCAACCAATGGGGGTCAAGGTTTAGCTTGGCCAGTTAGTTTCTAGTTAAGAATTAGGAACTAAAAGGATATTATAATTCAAATACATATTGAAGTATTGGCCCTATTTCAAATACATATTATTTATTTTTCACTAGGGGAGCTATACATGTTTTAATTTACTGCTGAATAACTGGAAAATCTTAAGCTACTATAAGGCATCATTTTGGATACTGTATATATTTGACAGTTCTTTAACTGTATGTATATCATTAAATTATGTCATTTCTTTATCAACTTGTTTGAGCTATTAAAACATGTTTCTTACTGTAAAATGCACTGTTAAATAACACTACAATGTACATAAAAATAACCAAACATTTTGAGTAAAATCTAAACAAATGTAATTTAGGGAATTCCAAGAATGCCATTTCCAAATATTGTGTGTGTGTGTGTGTGTGTGTGTGTGTGTGTGTGTGTGTGCGTGTGTGTGTGTGTGTGTGTGTGTGTGTGTGTGTGTGTGTGTGTGTGTGTGTGTGTGTGTGTGTGTGTGTGTGTGTGTGTGTGTGTAAATAATCATTATATTTACTAACTACCTTTTTTCGATTACTGTATTTGGTGAGGTAACTAATCAGTTATTTAGCTTTTTACTGTTGCTTTTTTATGTTCTTTATTTATTACAATGACTAATGATGTATGTCCTTAGTTTTAACCATGTTCAGTGTGAAGTCTATGATGTAAAGTCTGTTATTTTACAAAATAGGAGAAGGAGAAGTGGCAGGGATATATGGGTCATGGCTATGTATAGAAATGTGGTGCATAGAATATTTTCAGAGCTGATGGGAAAATGCTGCTCCAGTTTGTTCTCAGTCCTATTTTTCCTGTATTATACTGTAATGTCTCATAGTACAGTTAAACTTCAGTATTATAGTTTACTTGCCATATATCATTTAGCAACTTTTGTAATTATTACTGCACTAAAATACATCTGTTTTCTCTGAACACCAAAAGACTACCCTAGTCCTTATGGTTCCCAGCATTCATTGAGGTTACGGACAGTTCCAGCCCAAGAGACCACCAGTGCGGTTCAGTTTGATTGGGCCTCCCCCCCTGAAGATGCTGAAGACTCTAATGAGCCTCGAGATCTCCGCGAGCTGCCGCTGCACATGGGCCTGAAGAGAGCAGTATGGTATAAATGCATTATCTCATTACATACCAGGGTCAACAAATTACATTTTTACATTACCAAAATTTCAGCTGTACTCTTAACACTAGCTCCCAAAGGTTTCAGACAGAATTATCCATTGAAACTTTTAGTTTCAAAAGGTTAAATCGTAATAGGGCTTGTTTCTCTCTCACTTTATTCCAGGCAGGTGCAACAGATGAGAATTCCAGTTGTTTCTAGCTCTTGGAATATCAAACAGTCACAGACATTTCGCCGTTTCTGTGAGGTTGTCAAATATGTTCTCAGCTATTTTGTTCTGTGGAAAAGGGGAATCCAAAGGATAGGAGGTGAAATAAAAAAATTATAAAAATATAAAATAGACATTCTGCTTTCATCAGCACATACATAGGAAGTAAATCAACTGGTCATCTAAGAAAAGACACCAATAACAAGATAGTATAAAAGCCTAGTGGAGATGAAAGAAACTTTGTATTCAAAAATAAAAAAATTATTCATTTATTTTTTTCCCCTTTCCTTTATCCACTTGTTTTCTTGTAGGTCACTTTGGTGGAGGAGTCCAATCCTACTTCCTGTTCCTGAGATTTCTTGTGATTCTCAACTTCCTGTCTTCCTTGTTAATCGCAGCATTTGTCCTCATTCCCAGCATTGTGTTTCGCTCTATGAACTTCAACTCCACCATCCCTACAGTCAATCTAACCGGTAGGAACATTGTCTCTCTGGTATAAAAAACTAATTTCCATGCTTCAGAATGAGAAGCTAGCTGGTTACTGGATAACACAATCCTCTTTCTCTGGACTGAGACCCTTTATAATATCTGGTAAAGCTGCAAGACCCTGACAACATGTTTAGCATTAGTACCTTCACAGTCTAACTAAGAAACAAACAGTCATATTAAATAAAATAAATAAAACAGTGCTGATGTCATGTCATGTTCATAAGCAGGGGTCTTCAACCCTGCTCCTGGAGATCCACTGTTCTTCAAAGTTTATTTTAAACCTGCTTCAGCACACCTGCCTGTGATTTGCAGGCGATCCTGGAGAGCTTGATAAGCTGGTTCATCTGTGTTTAATTTTAGGGCTTGAGCTAAACTGCAGGACAGTGGGTCCCCAGGACCGGGGTTGAAGACATCAGTTCAAATGTATTTGTTGAATTGGTTAATAATTCATTGTAATAACTAATCCTTTAAAAGAAAACCTTATATCACTTTAGAAACAGTTGAACTATTATTAGGGAAAGTTGTTTCCTGTAGTTATTAATAAATAGTTTGCTGTCATTTTACTAACCCTCTACTCCTAATTTTATTGGATTAAGAGTACACAACACTATCAGGAAATAACCCTCTTTGTTGAAATACTGTTCTCATTAAATACAATGAACTAGTTTTTAATTCAGTTCACTTAAAAAAAAAATTCTGCAGTCAAATGTTCAATTATTTTGTTTGAAACAGGTGTGGAAATATGCTTGCAGTATGATCCAAAACCTGATACCCTGATGGTGTTCATCACATACTTTCTGGATCTGATCTCAGGAACTGTATGGACGCACTTAATGAATACATTTCTAAATACCCCCGGTTTCACAGACAAAGCTTAAAGGGGTGGTTGATTATGATTTCACTTTTCTAACTTTAGTTAGTGTGTAATGCTGCTGTTTGAGCATAAACAACATCTGCAAAGTTACGACGCTCAAAGTTGAAAGCAAAGGGAGATATTTGCTTTAAAATAATTTGCTTTTTAAGGACTACAACAAACGGCTGGTAGGGACTACACACATTCCTCCCGGGTTAGTGACATCACGAACCCTACAATTTACACTTCTACAAAAATTCTGACTCCGGTTTGAACATAAAAGGCGAAACGTTTTTGAAATGTTCGGTGTGTGTGAGGTAAAAGGACACAAGTTGTTGTGGCTCCGCCCTCTGTGCCGCATTTAAAGGGACAGACAAAAACGGTGCGTTTTTGCTCACCCTCAAAAAGTGACAATTTTAACATGCTATATAAAAATATCTGTGGGGTATTTTGAGCTAACACTTCACATACACTCTCTGGGGGCATCGGAGATTTATTTAACATCTTGTGAAATGAGCATTATACCACCTCTTTAAGCTAGTCGCAGACTAAAATGCACGTTTGAGCTGTTTTAACTGAAAGCAACTTGCAGTGATATATCTTAAAACATGTCAGTGCCATTGTTTTGTCTCAAGATGCACATCAGTAATGTTTTTTTCTAAGGCACATTTATGAAAGCTACTTAAATGTCCCAATTGATCTAATCCTGGCTTAATCTAAGTCCTGTCTGTGAAACCGGGCCCTAGTATATCTTTTCTATTGTAATACATTTTAAAATATAATTTATTTTGTATTAAATACCTGTTTATTAGTCTGTCACATCTTATTTTTTATTGTGAATATCTTCTAAACGATCTTCACTCATCACGGTCATGTCTTCCTTCAGGGATTTATGGAGTATTCATACCTGTTTTATGGCTACTATAACAATTCAATGGTTGAGAGTAATGGCTTCTCTTACAACATCCCTCTTGCGTATCTGTTGACGGCAGCCTTCTACTTCCTCTTCTGCTTCATTTGTATGATTATTAGGTGAGTTTTATCAGCTTTTTCAGAATTTTCTACCAGCATATTAAAAGAACATTGCTGAAGTATTAAGCCGACATCCCTGATTAACCAATAGAATGGGCGGCACGGCACGTGTTGCCGTTGTGACGGGTGGAGGAGCGACAGGGGGTTACAGTACGCTGGTGTTTACAGGATGGGATCACGGTCTCCAAGGAGACCGTACAACAAAACTTAAACAGAGCAATTTTCGCTACCGGTTACAGGTCTGTTTGGAAAACAAGTTTTAAATTAAATACCTTCAGGTATTGTGTAGGAGCAGGTTCCTTTTGGAGAAGGAATCATTAAAAGGAAACTGCTAGTGCAGAATTATGTTTATAATTATCTTGACAACATATATATATTTTATCTTTCTCACCGTGTCTCTTTCCCTCAGGTGGATCTAGAAGAGGAAAGACTAAAAAAAAAGGCTGCCTCCCTGACTTTGGGCCAAACAGTCTCTCTCTACGCGCTCCGTGTTTTCCTCAACATAGTTGTCTTAATTCTCATCGGTGCAACTTTCTATGGCATTGCTGAGGCAACACAGTTCAGCCAGGTTAGCTGAAGTTAAAAAAGACCAAAACAGTAACTAAAACTAAACAGTCACATTAAAACTTATGTGGAGATGAATTTGTCTAGTGCTGCGTCTGAAATCAAATACTTCCCTACTGTAGAATATGTGAAAAACTGTATGCCAACAGACATAGTATGTCTGAATAAATAGTATTCGAAAAACAGTACCTGAATGGATGACCTACTACTTCCGCAGAGGTTTTGAAATGTGCATTCGGTGGACACTTTACTGTCCCATGAGGCCATAGGAGAGGAGTTTTGAATGGCGGTAAAGCGGTGCAACTAAAACCTTAGGTCACATGCATTGCTGGGTAGTAAATGATTATACATAATCCTGTATTACGTAATCAGATTGTTAAAATTACATACTTGTAGTTGGATTATATTACATTTAAAAAAGTACTTGTAATCAGACTACAGTACTTATTTATTGATTACATGATTACTTAACATTCACAAAATGGCAGTAAATTATTAATAATTCAATTCTCCTTATTTATTACATGTTCCTTTCAAAAAAAGCCTTTATCTTATTTATATGTTCGGAAAGTCTTCCAGTTTTGTGGAATTGCGCACACAAGAATGATTACGCACTAGTTACACAGCTATAATTACATGGAAAATTGAGAGGCCGCACAGCATAAACAAGAAAAATATTTTTCTGTCAATTTACCATTTTTTAGATTAGATTAATTATTAGCTTTTCATCAGTTTCCGAACCCCCTGCAATTCCTACGCAAACGCCGGTTTGAGACAGCCTGACATATGTTTAATGCACTTCACGCTGTTGATAACAAAGAGTGGAATACCTATTCTTTCTCTTTGCTTTTTTAAATCAATATGCTACTAGATGATTCTATTCAAAATGATAAATGAGTTAGGGCAAAAGTAATCAGATTATATTAATAAAATGTGAAATGTTAAATAATAGATTACATTACTAAATAAAAAGTTTTCATCATGTAATTTGTATTTAGTAATGGATTACAGTTTGTAAGTAATCTATCCAGAACTGATCACATGACAGTGACAACATGGCGGATGTAGTACGTCCGAATTTCATTCATACCACACACATTAATACTGTACAGAATGCACTTTTTTAATGGCCACATAGTAAGTTTCAAACCAAGTGTAGCACCTACTATACAGCATATGATTTCGGACACAGCGTAGGTCTGTTTTTTTCCTTAGAGGATGTTTTAAGATGATTTACAAGTAAGAATATAAAAATCCATGTCATTGTGTTTATTTATTTGGTTGAGGTTCTGATTACCTTTTTGGGCTTTATGTTTTTTGACAATGAATTGATTAAATCTCTCTTCCTTTCAGCTTATGAAAACAACAGGCTTTAAGGGGCTGCTGTTGCAATACTTACCCTCCATGGTCATAACAGCAAGCAATTTTGTGGTGCCTTTACTGTGTGACAAGATTGCATTACTGGAGAAGTATTCTCCCAGTACCACGGTCATCCTGGCCTTGCTGCGGTTAGATCAATTCTCGCACCCACACCAAATAAAGATATCAAAGAGAACAAAGAGCAGAAAATGAAGAGCAGTACTACGTTTAGCCTTGGTTAAAACCTCATTGAGAGCTATTAGCCTGCAGTTTCTTTTGTTCATTTAATAGCTTTCAAAATGAATCATTTCAAATAAAGCACCATCATTTTCGCTAAATATCACATTGTTTGTTCAACCACTGCTCTCTTTGATTTGATCTTTGTCATTGTTCTTTTAGAAACGTATTCTGCTTGCTCACTTTTACTCATTCTCTCCATTTGTCATTGTAGGGCAGTCTTCCTGCGTTTGGTGAGTTTGGGTGTTTTGCTGTACACTCTGTGGGAACAGATTACCTGTGAGGGAGATATCGACAAACAAAACTGTATACCCTGCCATTATTATTACAACGAATATAAGGTAAACAACATAAGATATGCACTCATTCATAATTTGTCAGATACACTAACGTTCCAAAATTTGGGGTCGGTAAGATTTTTAAATGTATTTGGAAAAAAAGTGTAATGTAATTTATTCCTGTGATGACGAAGCTGAGTTTTCAGCATCAGTCTTCAGTGTCATTTGATCATTCAAATTTGCTAATTTTGTGCTCAAGAAACATTTCTTATTATTATCAATGTTAAAAACAGTTGTGCTGCTTAATATTTTTGTGTAAACAGTGATGTATCTTTCTTCAGGATTTTTGATGAATAGAAAGTTTAAAAGAACAGCATTTATTTGAAATAGAAATATTTTGTAAAAATGTAAGTCTTAAATGGCTATATAAAATTAATTGTTTAAAAATCTTACTGAGACCAAACTTTTGAACAGAATAGTATAAGTTCTAATCAATGTCTTACTGTTTAATGCCAAAAGAGTATAAATGCTGCTTATTTCCTTTTCTTTTTTTACTTCAAATCCCTCTTTCACAACCACATAGTGCTGGGAGACACGAGTTGGACAGGAAATGTATAAACTGACTCTTTTTGACTTCCTGATTACAATTGCTACACTGATCCTGGTAGAATTCCCACGCAGGTCTGTTTGTGTGTGTTAGGTCATATAATTCTATATTAAAAATGTATGTCTTTAACTTATTTTTGCCATGTTCAGGATTGTGGTGGATCATTGCTCATGCAAACTAACTCAGTGGGTGGGACGGCAAGAGTTTCTGGTTGCCCCAAATGTTCTTGCTCTAGTTTACAGTCAAACGGTGGTTTGGACTGGAGCTCTTTTCTGTCCATTGCTGCCATTCATCAACACCATCAAATTCATCCTCTTTTATTACTGCAAAAAGGTACCATGGCATGAGGACAACCTTCTCAGACACGTACACGCAATTGATTGAAATTGCTAATTTTGTCCATGTTTGCTTGTATCAGATAACTCTCTTCCAGAACTGTCAACCAGCAACAAGAAACTTCCGGTCCACCACCTCCAACTTCTTCTTCCTTTTGGTTCTGCTCTTTGGATGGATGTTGGCCACCATGGTTCTCCTTTACAGTGTGACTAAGTGAGTGAGGCCTGCCACTCTCCATGAATGGTTTTTAATGACAGAGAGAGAATATTCAAGTATGATCATGTATGTCATGCTTTTTTTTGTTTTGGTAGGATCCATCCATCTTATGGCTGTGGGCCTTTCCGGTTTTACCCAACAATGTGGGAGGTTGTACCACGATCTGCCGAAATGCTAAACAGCACGAGTGCAGAATTCCTGTTTTATATCGGCTCCCAGAAATTCTCTATCCCACTCTTCATCTTCTCCTGGTCAGTATAAACAGCCATGGGTCAATTCAGAATTTCTTATGGTTTCATGTAAAACTTTACTCAACATGCATTCTATCAGTTTACTAAATCATTGATTTAGATTGATAAATAATGCTGTAAAGATAGGACTGCTTATGATATAATTGTTGATGAAAATGTGATAAAAACGTACATTTATGCATTACATGTATTTGATATTTTATACACAGTGTGCTCCTGTGCTATGTAAGCGCTTTAACATCTGTCCATGGGAAAAGTGTAGCACTCCTGAAATCTCAGTGTAAGCTGGTAAGTGCTTGGTTATTAATCCAAATTCGCAGACTAGAATGGTTATGTAAGGGATAATGTAGAGCGAGGTGGTTGTTATAGCGAATACAACCCCGACAGGGACACAGGCTGTAAATTTGTGTCATTGTATTATACAATAATATTTATTTACAATAAATTCCATTGGTATACATTTAAGCAAAAAGTGTTTGAGGTCTGGATATAATATAAATAACACTGAAAGCCACGATAAAATAATATAACATTTAAAATAAGGGGTGTGATTACCTACCTAAGCTAAGACTTTCTTTTTTCCAGTTTAACCTCTGACTGGAACCATTATTAATCCCTCCTTTAATCTGTATTTATCTGGGTGTAACAGGAACAGCGTGACAAGCAATTCCTGGTCCGACAAATTGAAGAGCTGAATGCCACAGTGCAGAAGGAACAACGTGAACCACAGCAGCCCCAGAGAGAGACTGACACAGCAACACGGTGGAATCAACATGACAATTATGCATTTGACCACGATGAAGATCCAAGGCCATATTAAGACTTTGTTGATAAAGTGCAGTGTATGCTGGAATTAAAAAAAATCGTGCACTCCATTATTTTACACAAATACATCCAATGATACTTTTACGGCCGTTAAAAAGTTCGGGGTCAGTAAGATATTTTCTGATAGATAGATTTCTGTTCTGAACAAATGCTGTTCTTTTCAACTTTCTATTCATCAAAGAATCCTAAAAAAAGTATCATGGTTTCTAAAAAAAATATTAATAAGCACAACCGTTTTCAATAATAATAAGAAATGTTTCTTGAGCAGCAAATTAGCATATTAGAATGATTTCTGTAGAATCATGTGACACTGAAGAGTGGAGTAATGATGCTGAAAATTCAGCTTTGTCATCACAGGAATAAATTACATTTTAAAATATAGTAGAACAGAGCTATATTTTAACTTTAACTGTAAAATAAATATAGTGTTTTTTTGATGAGTAATATTTCACAATATTACTGTTTTACTGTGATCAAATTATAAAGTCTTGGTGAGCTTAAGAGACTTCTTTCAAAAACATTTTATAACATTAACAACCCCATACCTTTGAACAGCAGTGTATAAATGTTTATGTATACAATATATGCATGTTTAAGAGTCAATGTACACATTTCTTACTTTGTGTGAAATGCCTTGAGTGCTTTGCCTCTCAAAACTTTTGTGATGGATAATGTACTCTAGTGTCCTGGGCTTTGTTATGCTGTACCTCCTTAAGCATAAAATCCTAATTATTTTTTTACTCAAGTCTTTATTAATTTGGATGAGTATTCCATTCTTTTTTAAACCATGAAAACATCACACAAAAAACTGAGGACCTCTACACAAACTGCTTCTATTTTAAAAACATTTTCAAAAAATGTAAATACACTATCAGTATACAATGCTGAGCGTTATGATGACTACGAAGATATTCCTCACATGAGTAAGTATTTCATGAATTGAGCTATGAGAATTGCATCTCTGGTAAACAAAAGGCTTTCTTTTATGTTTTTTTAGGTGCGCCCTCGTGTGGTACTCTACACGTTCTACACTGCGTCACAAATATTTTACGTGTGACGTAGGTCACACTACGACAACTTCCGGTGTTTACAAAGCTCTTTCCATACCACTCAGTAGGTGTATTTTTCGACAGATGTTTAAATGTGTTTGGTTGTGAATAGGCAGTATGAAATAAACGAATCTGACATTTACCGACGAGATACACTGACGAGTTCGAATTTCGTTGCGTAACGTTAGTCGACGAGGCTGTTTATTTCGAGTCATAAACTGAGCTATTTCCGCAATTGTTGGATCTTGTATGTGGCCTGACACACTCGCTACGAACCCGCAATTATATTTGTCCGTTTGGCTGTTCTCCTAAGTATTTCGCAATGAACATTTTGCCTAAAAAGAGCTGGCATGTGCGCAATAAGGACAACATTGCGCGCGTGCGCCGCGACGAGGCTAATGCAGCAGAGGAAGAACGCGAGATTCAAAGGCGAGTGGAACGCGCAGAGCAAGAGGTAACCATAGCAACCCAGCATCCTTCCACTGTTTCTAGGTTAATTCACTACATTCTCAGCCCCTCATGGAGAAAAAAAAAACAAAATAATATGTTTAAAATAAAACGTGCTTGATTTTGTCAGTCTTTGTTGGTTTTGCATGTATCATAATTATAATGCATGCTTAAAAATGCAGTCTGTATTCCACCTACGTTGCTATCTATATTTTATGGCTTGCATTTTGAGCTGAATGTCTGTCCCATAATCCCTCAGGCCCGAACCGAGTATTTGAGAAAGAAAGCTCAAGCAGGCCTGCAGCAGACAGGGGAATGGACAGAGGACGGAGAGGCGGCGGAGACAAGCCGGGGAGCCAGAGAGATAGAACACCTAAATCTTTTTCCTCTAGAGGACTCGTCTGAAAAGAAAGGAAATGCAGAATACCTCAAAGAGAAGAAGGAAGAGAAGGTGTGTCTAAACGATTAAAAACATCCTTTCTACAGTTGTAATGTATGTTTTTTTAATGACAATTCTTAATTTTTTTATGGAATATTTCTATATTTTTTATAAATGATTTATCCGGGCATATCATATTTTTAAAATTCAAATGCCCTTGTAATCTTGAATCAAAATAACTTCCCCTCCCTCCTTGCAACGACATCTTTTCTCTGATGACGTGTTTACTGGCGCGAGGGCAGGATGACCTGTCACTGAGGTCACAGCAATCCGTTTCATGCTGACTTTAAGATTTAGCTGTATACTTTCCATACTGCCATTGTGACATAGTCTACTTAAAATTGTAATTTTAAAGCTGTTTTTTCCCCCAAATATTTTATTCTAGGAGAAGCAGGAGCGTGCTATTGGTATTTTAGTGTCTCTAGGTCCCGCTCCTGGAACAGAAGCCACTCCCTGGTACCTGAAAGACGGAAAAGACAAAGAGGAAGAGAGAGACAAAAAAGAAAAAGGCAAAAGCAAGCAAAGAACCATGACTGAAGAGGAAAGAGAAAAGAAAGACAGGAAGCTGAAAGACAGTTTGGATCCTCTTAAAGAAATGAAAAAGGCACTGGCAGTGAAAGACAGAAAGCTGAAAAAGCATAAGAAGAAGGAGAAGAATGACAGAGGAGAGAAGAGGAGTGGAGAGAGGTGCGAAATCATTTTTCTATTTCTGTCAACACCAGTAAAGCATCTTGCCTGGCTACACAACAATTTAGTCATACTTCACAAGTCATAATGATTACTGAGCCATTTCTTGAAAGTGAAAATGTGACCATGATTATTTGCAACCTGCAAGAATTTGATATAATTATGTTCATATTTTTGCAAGAAGTCTCTTATGCTCATCATAGCTGCATTTATTTGATAAAAAAAAAAAATACAGTAAAAAAGTAATGTTGTTAAATATTATTACAATATAAAATACCTTTATAATGTATTTTAAAATGTAATTGGTTGCTTTAATGGCAAAGCTGAATTGTTAGCAGCCATTAATGCAATATTCAGTGTCACATGATCCTTCAGAAATCATTCTAAAATGCTGATATTACAATATTGCTGCTCAAGTAACATTTCTTATTATTATCAATGTTGAAAACAGTTGTGCTGCTTAATATTCTTGCAGGATCCTTTAAATAATGCATCAAATGTACAGCATTTATTTTAAATAGAAATCTTTCGTAACATTATAAATGTTTTCACTGTTACTTTTGATCATCTTAACATGTTCATGCTGACTAAAAGTATTACTTTTTCCAAATCTTTTGAACGGTATATATGCATCTATAATTTGCTTTTAAATATTTTCCTGATGTCATTTTCCAGTCAGTTTAGAATTACTGGATATAGAAAAAGAAATGATGAAGTATTACATAAGTTAGTTACACTCAGTAGATGCCCACTGCAGTAGTAACATCTTGTTTTTCATCCTGTAATGATTTATTTTACTCTCATGACAGTTCAATTGAGAGGTTACGGGCTGAACGACTGCAGAGAGAAGCGGAGGAGAGGAAAAGGACAAAGGCTTTACTGGAACAGAGGAGTGGAGGCGGGAAGGAAAAAGAGCACGAGCGAGAGATGGGTGATAGAGACAGACCATACAACAACGCCTACTTTCCTGAATTGGCACGGAAAAGGCAAAGGAGAGACAGAGATCAGTTTGGGTTTTATTAGCTAACAAAGGCATTAATTCACTAAGTCTAGAATATGCGGAACCGTTTTGTGATCGGACAAGAAATTAGCAGGTGGAAAGTGTGAAGACCATTTAAAATGACTGATTGCTTCCTAAAAGCCATCGATCTGGCCTCTGCATCACTTTTATTGGCATCAGGTGACTTGGGAAAAACGGGCGAACAGGAAAACCTCTTGTTTGCCTGTATTTGTGCTGACAGTACATGAAGCAAATAGGCTGCTGTAAAAATGTCATCATTAAGATCTGCATCAGTTGTTTTCCTGTACAAATATGAGACATCAGCATTAAACCATGGACAAGACATTATTGTGAGACTAAGAACATCTCTTTGCTGCTGATACTGGAGTCAATAAAATATTTTGTTCCTGTCAGGTAAATACTTCATTACATCCTATTATTGCATAGCTGGACTAAACAGCAAAAGGTCTGGTCCATATTTCCGCTTATTCTGGCCACCTGCTGCCCTCTTGCTGTTTGACCCTAATGTAAAGCGATTGATTTTTTGTTTTTACGTGACAGATAAGGGCAGGTTTATCTGAGATTGATTAATATAATACCCCACAATAACATATTGTTATGAACAAATGGTGTAGCAGTTTATGATCAATTGTGCATAAAATGCATGTAAATATAGTTGAAAATGTACAGTACAGAAAATAACTATGGATTATTTCCCAGACATAAGAAAAAAAGTAGAATATACAGTTTTGTGCCATATGCATCAGTCAATCACATACTGTGGGAACGGCATCTGAAGCTGACACTATAGTTATAGAATTAATTACATACCAAAAGATATACTTAAATTATTTGTCTCGGTTATTTATCCTTTGCCGTTAATGATACCAAGTGCAATTAATTCATGTGCACTGTTTTCACTGAGAAAATAATTTTTCGTGGGACACAAATTATAAAGAATATAAATGCAATAAAGTATGCTAGGAGGATGAGATTAATTCCATTTGCATTAATTGGTATTTAAAGGCATCTTTGTGGTGGAAATATTTGTCCATTTCCAGACACAGACAGAGATTTGCATGTTATTAACTTGAAGGCTACAGACAATTTCAATGGCTCGTTCTGTGCACCTGTCCTCCCAAACGGATCATGTCACCGCTCCGTGGAGGTGGTCCGATTTAGGGGGATTTTGATGCAATGATACCCAAGGCCACGACACGGGGGCGTTGACGTTCTCTCCAGTCTCATAAACAAACGCTTTTGTTGGCCAGCAGCAGGTACCTGAGTGAAGGGCATCGCGTAATCGTTCTATTGCGAGGCAACGTCTACCTATGAAAATCGCCGCGAGGCGCGCGCAGCTCCACAGAGATTTTAATAGCGCAAACTCGGTTGCGTCTGACGTAGAGGGGCTTCTTGGAGGAAAACATAGCTCGACCACTTACATGATACTGACACACGGTATATAGGATAGGATATAGAACCAATAGAATGACTTCACTGGTATTTTCTGCCCGTTTTCGACCGTTGGGACGCGATGAGGACGGAATAGTAACAGCGCGCTGCTGAGGATGCGGATCGCGGGATTAGGCTGACACAAAAGAGCGTTCACGCCGTGTTTAATTGCGGATTAAAAGAGAGCATCAGCCTTGCACAACAAGGAGACGTTTCTTTATTAGCGTGGATCCAGACGCGCGGCGGGGAACGTTGACAGTATCGCTCGGATGGTGGTTCCGTGGACCGCGCGACCATGTCACTACAGTGCTGGGTGATTGTTCTGGTCGGGCTGATGTCGTACTTCAACCCGGAGAGAGCACTGGGAGCCCCGCAGAAGGAAGGTGAGCGTGTCGTTTAGATGGCATGTTATTGATGCGCTCGAGGGGGGAGGAGGCGATGAGACGCTATGAAAATAAGGGGAATTTGACAGTCTGAGGAGAGTATTTTACATTTCTGGTTGGGGGTGACGCTCATTAAATATTATTTCATAATTCAATCATATCTGTCTCTATATCTAAGACATATATGTTAGAAAGTTACATATTGGCACCATATGCGTCTATTTATTGAGCCCATGCACTGGTGATAATAAAGGTGTCTGGCTGTTATTCTGGCACGCATGTATGATTTTTCATTTTGGGCCTGCAAAACCGCTCTTCTATATGTAATTTTACATATGGGCCTGAGGTAAATCCTATATTTTACATAGGGCGATTTTTTTTATTTTATCATCATCTGTCCCTGTTTTAACTAATGTTCGCATAATTGCATAATTGTTAGGTGTTAGTGTTTTATTCGCGCATTATTTTAGTAACGTTAGCCTACCATGAACACAAATTTGCCAACAGGCCCGCGTGTTTGTTTGTGTGCTCTCGTATGCAGTATGTGTAACCATATGGTCTAAGAAGGGAATTGCACACAGGTTCCTGTCTGTCAGCGTCTGGCCACTGTTTTTCGAACAATAAAAGGTTACTGAATAATAACACCCTTCATGTATTCATACACCTACCTGCATATTAGCCTTTATATTTTCATAGTTCAAGTGGACAAACACCGCGGTGTGATTCTTCTCGAATACTGAACGTGTGCCTATTGTTAATTGCAAGCGTGGTATTTTTAATATGCATTTATGGGATGTTAGGTATTTATTTATTTTTAATTTTATATTTTAGCCTAATTATTAACCACATAAGGTTCTGACATCATGTGATAGAAATGTTAAAGCTGTTCAATAGGCTCCATAAAACATATCTGGCTTTATTAAGTAATTGATTGAATACTGTAACGTTACATGTTTTACTGATAGATTAATATTTATTTGTGAATAATAATAATCACAATAATTATATATTATATACTATTATACAATAATAATACTGCTTTATCATTGAGAAAAGATTATGAAAACTGGGATTTAATGACATTTAGGTTTCTGTTCTTTTCCTGGAAAAAAGGCATCTATAAGTGTCTAAAATGAGCACGACCTCAAATGACCTGCAGTTTTCAGACAACAGACCCTAATGACTGCTTAGTACTCAGAGACTCTTTTTAAATAGCTTTAAACATCCTCAGTCGCCGTGTCAGTTGCTGTCAGGTCTGATGTGCCCAAAAATGTCTTTGTGGTGCCTATGCTATTTTAGGAAAACCATGGCCCACCACTTTTAAAAGTTACATTACTGTTTTCGAATGATTAAGAATTGAGAGCATTATTGTCCTTGCTATTTTAGTAATATTTTCAATTCAAACATATTTTATTATACGAGATTATTTATTTTGTGATTTGCTTAATTATGAGGTAAAAGGGAGATGTACAGTAAATTCTCCAGCAATGGCATGTGTGCTAACATTGATGAATAAATAATGAGGTTTCAAGTCAGTTGAATACATTATACGAGTTATTTTAGTTTAGTGGATAGGCCTATTCATTCTTAGCATCTGGTTAATCACAATACCAAAGGTATTTAACCTCCTTGCCCTCCTCCCCACCTTCTCTTCTCCACAGATGGCTCTCCTAAAACAAACGGCCAAATTGAGGTACAAAATCAAGTATGGCACCTTTCCTTCTGACCCAGCAACCCTCCAGATACAAGAATCTTTTTCAATGATCCAGTCCCTTCCCTAAAAAAAAGGCCCTTCCCCCCAAACAAAACTCCAAATACCTTCCCTTCTTCTTCAATAGTGACGAGTACAAGGAATGTCTTGTATGATGACTCTCTGGTTTCTCTCCTTTGCTTCCCTTAAACCTTAACTCTCAAACCCCTCCCTAAACCCAATATGAAGGTGATCTATTCTGAGTTCCTCTGCTTTTCTCTGTACTTTCACCCTTTGTGCAATGAAAACTCTTCATTGGATTCCTGTGCTATGTTCGGAATGTAACGCTGCCCTTTTAAATTTTTCCCTGTTAGGAAAATATACAAGTTATCTTTCACTTCTATCTATCTATCTATCTATCTATCTATCTATCTATCTATCTATCTATCTATCTATCTATCTATCTATCTATCTATCTATCTATCTATCTATCTATCTATCTATCTATCTATCTATCTATCTATCTATCTATCTGTCTATCAATGGATCAGTCTCTTAGTATTTGTCAGGATGGATATTTAAAACTCTACCCCATTTTTTTCCTCAGTCTCTGTGTCCCGGGACGACTTTCTCTCTCCACCCCCTTATGTGATTATTCTCATCTCCTGCTCTGGGCTGGTCTCTTTTGTTCTGTTGCTTCTCACCTGCCTTTGCTGCAAAAGAGGAGGCGTGGGATTCAATGTAAGTCTCTTTAGTGTGGGGTTTATACATGTGGGTTTTACGTGAATTTTGCATAATGTGGGTGTTACTGATATGAATCAGCATGAAACATACATTTACTTGTTCTTTTGATGTTGGTTGCATTTCTTTCTTCTTTTATATATATATTCCCACTAGGGTTGCGGCGGTGAGGAAAATTTCCCACCGGTTATTCGACGTGTGACAACACCGGTAATCCCGGTGTCACCGTGGGGGGGTGGGTAAATAGCTTTTAAATGCGTGCGCGTTATACTTTCACTTTCGAAATAAGCGTCCATTGCCAATTCAGCGCTGACAATTCAAAACTCGCTGATAATAAAACTTTTATTTATAGACAGAACTTTTATTAGCATAACGAACGAATAAAAATAACCCCATGCATAGGCTGAAAAAAGTGAAAATCGGCAAACTGTGGGCCCAAACAAATAAGAACCATAAAACGTTTATTAACGAATAAGAAAATAAAATAGGCCTAAATAAATTACACAAAGTTTAAATAAGATAAAACCAAATAAATATACGAATATAAAATCTCCACACGTGCTAAATGGAATTTGACTCCTGATGCTTGCTGATCTGTGACGTGACTGGCTCTTGGCACGCACTGCGCAGTTCAGTTTTTAATTATAATGTATGCTCTCTTCTGAACTAAATAATTGATAATTATTATTTTTAATTAATTCAAATAAATATTTTAGCAAAAACGAATACTTTAAAAAAGTCAAGACATCGCGGTGTCACGGTGGGAAAGTGATGTCACCGGTGATGGGGCTTAAAACCGATAACACCGTCAACACCGTCTATCGCGGCAACCCTAATTCCCACCTCCACTTTTCTCTTTCAGGAGTTTGATAATGCCGAAGGGGAAGAATGCTCTGGGGCATCCAGCCCTGTTCCTGAGGACAGTTTGTCCTCCTGTCCATCACTACCGGAGGTCTACACTCTCCCACTGCGGGATAAGAACTGCACCATCTTACTGAATGGCACAGG